TTTATAGGGGCGCCCCCAAGGGTCTTCGTTAAGGGAGCTTATTAGCTCCTCCCACGCTTTCTCCTTGGCAGTCCTGATTGTCGCCCGCAAAGCTTTCCTTCTTTGGCGGTACTCCTCCACGAATCTCTCCTCCTCCGCAGGTGGAGTTCCCCTCCTCCTTCTGGCCCGCAGGACGGCTCTCCTGGCAGCCACCGAGGATTTCCTCAGCGCGTCTATCTCTTCCGACCACCAGTAGGCCGCCCTGCGGGCGACGAACCTGGCGCGCGGCATAGCGGCGTCGCACGCACTCGTCAGCACCCGCTGCACCCACCTAGCCTCCTCTTCCACTGTGGGCGCAGGGTCCGGCTGCGCCCACAGTGCCGCGATTAGGGACTCCTTAAGTTTGTCCGGGTCCAACTTATCTGCCCTCCACCTAACCATTCGTTCTTGCGATCTCTTCCTCCCATTCTCCCATGCGAACTTTATGTGGATGGGAAGATGGTCGGAAAGCAACTCAAGGCCATCCACCACCCCCCATCCACTTATCCTCCTCGCGGCCGCAGGGGAAGTCCACGTCAAATCGACGATTGACTCCCCCTGCGGCCTTACGCAGGTGCTGACGTTCCCTACGTTTTCTAGGTGGAGGCCTAGGCGCGCGGCCCAGGCCTCCACGTCTGCCCCCTTGGCGTCCGGCCGCCGGGAACCCCAAAGTGCCGATTTGGCATTGAAGTCCCCGGCGACCAGGATCGGTCCGGGGAGATACTCCCGGACCAAGTCCTCCAGCTCCTCAAGTCTCGCGTCCGCTTCGGCACGGGTAAGGCTGGGCCTCAGGTAGACCCCAATTACAAACAGGGGCCCCCATTTGGCCACCACCCAGCCCTCCCCGGCCTTGAGTTTCGAGAAGGGGGGAGCCCGCTCCCCCGTTCTCCTCCAGACGATCGCCGCCGAGCCGTCCGTGCTCCCCGCCCAACAGGGGCTCTTAGGAACACGGTACGTGTTTGGCATACTCAGCGACGATGCCAAGTCCGCAACCACGCTCCGCCAGGCTGTGGAGGAACAGATCCTGAGCCTGGCGGGCGTGGTTGAGATTCGCCTGGAG